CGTGAAGAGAATAGCTGGCCTCTCTGCCTGCAGTTTGGGGACATTGGGTTCATCTATAATTCTGTTCTATTTTGTCTTTATTACTATTTGTTCATTATCTGTAGAATTGTATTCTGGGCCCAGGAAAGGTTAGGAACAATTAGATGTTCCTAGAGATGGGGAGGTATTGAGGCACAAGAGGATGGGCGGCCAAAGTGCTGACCCTGAGCCCCAGACTGTGAAGTCCTGAAGGTGATCCTGAAGGTGACATGCTGAAGCCAGTCCTTTGTTTTACAAAGTTCCCCTTCTGACTGCGTATAGGTGTGGTCTTACCTTGACTTAATGGTCTTAGCTTTTGTGATGGTATATAGGTGTGGTCTTAACTTGACCTTGTGGTCTTAGTTTTTACAGTACTATTGTCTATCTTTCTCATGCCTGCCTGTGCCTGAAATCACTCTTGAGGTGTGCCCTTGAAACTAGTATATAAACACCTGGAATTAGAAATAAAATTGCAGCAGCATTTGCAAGCTTCACCTCGGTGTTGAGTGCTTTTGTCTGACTGTCATCGCCGAACCTGCTCCCACCTTTCAGAGAACCTGTATCTCCTCGTGAAATCCCGTGTTTGCTGCCCTACGGTCGGTAGCACTCCTGCCTCATCCTCCTAAGTGCTGGGATTACAGGCATGTGCCACTACACCTGGCTGAAACTGGTACATTGTTATAAATTGAAGAACAACATTTTTATTACTCAGTTGAGCATCATCAATATAAAAATAAAGCTTTTCATTATTGCTATGAAGTGTAATTTGGTAATTATCTGAAGTGTCACATTACTCTTGGGATTACTGAAACTGTTGAAGACTGATTGTTGATGTAGTTTTGACTAAGTTTTGTTCTGACTTTAGAATCGACTTGGAGATTTGTATCATGAATCAGAAAACTTGGATTTGAGGTATCTAATGAAAGGTAATGGTGACTCATTTCAGTAAGAAAACTACTTTCAAAGTAAACCAAGTTTTACTCTTCACCTTTAGGAGGAAGTGAACGTCCCCAGTAGGCGGGTTCTGGTTACTGGAGCTACTGGCCTTCTTGGTAGAGCTGTGTACAAAGAATTTCAGCAGAACAACTGGCATGCCACTGGTTGTGGTTTTAGAAGAGCAAGGCCAAAATTTGAACAGGTTAATCTGCTGGACTCTGAAGCAGTTCATCACATCATTCATGATTTTCAGGTATGCTTTCATCTCTTTATTGTAGGCATGAACTATTATAAAAATCAGGTGATATAAAAAATGTACTTGCCGGGTGTGGTGGTGCATGCCTGTAATCTCAGCACTCAGGCAGAGGTAAGAGGACTGCTGTGAGTTCAAGACCAGCCTGAGCTACTTAGTGAGTTCCAGGTCAGTCTCAACTATACAGTGAGACCCTGTCCCAAACAAAGAAACAAAAAAGTATTTGTTCACAAAGAAATTACTATATCTTAAAATTCTAACATACTTAGCAGAAAGAGTATGTAATATACTTCTTTAAGATTGGCAAGGTGTAAGTACTCCTTAAAAGGTTAGCTTGTGACATTGGTTGAATCTCATAAAAAACTGGTTTATGGATCAGGTATGGTGGTTTATACCTGTAATAATCCCAGCACTCAAAAAGGTGGAGACAGGAGGATCACGGCAGGTCTGAGGCCCGCCTGTGTTAAGTAGTAAGTTCAAGGCCACCCTGAACTACACAGCAAAGAGTCTGTTTCTCGGAAAGTGTACACCAAACCAAAAAACAAAACTTTGGTTTATGGAATATTTGCTGCATAACACATTCAATGCAACTTTTATTTATTTATTTATTTATTTATTTATTTA